ATTCATAAACTTAATTGGAGGAATTTTTCACACATTCTTTGCCATCATTTCCTTGCACTATGTACAACTCTAAGTCTCACAGGTCAACAGTTAGAGCTTATATTTAAAGGTCATCTTAGATATCCATCTTATGTTTATAAATAACAAAATTATTGTTTAATGATAGAAAAGAGTTCCTTTAGGTAGCAAACTTACTTTATTTAGTAACTTTTTTTTATTGTGTTTTTGGGCAAGTTGGAATTTATGGTAGATTTGATTATTGTACTCAATTCATCATTCCTCACTTTCATGGAATTATCCATAAATCTACTTTGCTGTGTGACTATGATACCTCCCATTATTATTTGTTGAAGATTGAGTGATTCCAGTTTTGATTGTTAAAAGTTCAACTAAAGTAGCAAATGTTAAACCATTTGTAAACCATCAAATCATATGATTTATATGGTAAATAACTACTTTATTGATTTTCCCTTGTTTTGGCCAAATGAATATAAACAAATATTATACAGGCAAGGTTTTACATGCACTCACATAATTCACCTTTCCTCATGAGTTCCTGTCATCCACTAAAGGAGAACTTGCCCTTTGAAGCTGTTGATAAGAACCTCACTCCATAGCAAAGGTAAACCAAGTGCCATGTGGACACGTATGTCTATGTGTCTCTATGTATGGACTAGTGTGTATTTTCAAAACATATCAAAGAAAATTGCTGAGTTCTATATTTCAGAATACAGAAAACTATCATTTTTTTAATGCAGGGAGTGAAAAAATGAAATCAAGAATCCAGAGGAAGTGGTAATTAAGAGCAAGAAATAGCAATACAAATATAAGCACTAGTGTATAGGCAGAAACTTGGGCAGAACATTTGACTTCACAAAAAATTTTCAAAGGACAGAGGTACTGTTGTTGAAAGCCAACATATTTTCAACAAATTTACTGTAATTTCTCAATTCTAAGATGTTGTAAGTTACACACCATAAATGTAGTTAAGAGATTTTTTTCTGGAAATAAATACATTAATTGCACTTTTCTATATTAACCTATAAGAAACATATTTTCCAACAGAGTTTAACGTTACGCTATTTTGGATTCTTGGAGAAGGAGACCTTCTATAGGGATTAAACATGTAAGAGATTTATTGGGGAAATATCAATGAGGGAAAATGAGATCAGAGGCAGAAGAAGAGGGAATAGTTTTCAGACCATAGTGCTCCTCCACTTCTGGTTGAGGAGAGAAGAATGTATGAGAGGACTGCAGTGCAGCTCTATGAAAGATTCAGCAAAACCAGTGAGGAATCTTCAAGCTGAAGAGCCTGGCTCTGCATCTCCACCTGGCTCAATGGTTGGTTGCAAGTGGCACCTGGGAAGTGTGGCCTCTGTGTACATACTCAATGGATCTCACTCTGCAGTACATGGGGCCATTGGTCATTGGTCAGTATGCTCTTTGTAGTGGACATTTGAGATATGAGACGTCTTTTCATGGCTGTCACAGTTAGATACAACTTTCTTTTGCAGATTTAGATTGAAGTTTATGTCTGAGCCTTCTTAATATTCATAATCTAAAGTATATTCTGAGTTACTATTAGGTATCATAGTGTTTTTTTTTTTTTATTAAATCATAGCTGTGTACATTAATGCAATTATGGGGTACATAATACTTTTTAATTTTTTTTGTTTTGAAATCTTGACCTCTTCATTATATTTAGAATTTTAATTCTAATTCTGACTTTATAATTTTCAATTACACTGAAGAATATTGATGTATTAAAATTTCATACTTGTTCCATCCATATAAACATGAAGGAGGTAAAGTCTCCATCCTTCTTTAGGGCTGCATAATATTCCATGATGTACATGTGCCATAATTTATTGATCCATTTGTGGGTCAATGGACATTTGGGCTTCTTCCATGACCCAGCAATTATGAATTGGGCTGCAATAAACATGTTTATATGGATGGAATTAGAAAATGTTCTTCTTAGCAAAGTATCTCAAGAATGGAAGAAAAAGTATCCAATGTACACAGCCCTACTTTGAAACTAATTCATAGCTTTTATAGGAATATCATAACCTAATTATAGCCTTAGAATATGGGAAGGGGGAGGGGAAAATGAGGGGGTGGATGAGGGGAGGGAGGGTGATTGGTGGGGTCACCTCTATGGTTTATCTTACAAGGGTACAAGTGAATCTTTCTAAAAGCAGAGTATGAACGTTTTAACTCAATAACTAAGAAAAGGACATGAAGGTTATGTTAACTAATTTGATGAGAGTATTTCAAAATGTATATGAAAACAGCACACTGTACCCCATGATTGCATTAATGTACACAGTTATGCTATAAGAAATAAAAAAAATTCATACTTGGTTGAATTCTAAAATTTAATTTTTCTCTTTTATGAAATTGTACATTTTTAGAAAATTAATGGCTCTCTTAAAAGTTAGCTGGTTAATTCTGAAAAAAAAAAAAAACTTGATTTCTTCTGTCTTTAAAATGGTTGAATTGCCCATTGCACAATTACATAGCTAAGAAAATGTTATGACCTTTCTCAAGGAATTTGGGAGTATTTTAGTTGCTTGTCTTGTGAAAATAAATGGGTGTCATATATAATATTGAGAGAAATTTAAATTACATGTCTTATATCTAAATTGAAATCAATCTTAACCCCATGTGGTACTACCAAAGTAAGTAACTGTGACTGTTACAAGTATGTATTTCATCTCTTACTGTGCTTACGTAGTACAAATAAAAACAAGTATACTACAAGTTAACTTACCTATGGCAGGCAAAAATGCATTCAAATTTCAGAAATATCACATTATTTTTAATCAAGAGAGTTTTACTTATTTTAACAGAGGTATTAACTAGTTTTAGAAAATATAAGAGGAAGTTGGCATATCAATTCTTGCTAGAAAGGTGTTATTTTCTACAATTTCTACATATAACTACTTAGTGATCATCATCTATAACACAAATCTCAGAATTTGAAATATTTAAGAGATAATTATCTCAACAAATCTCCAACTTTTTTAAAAATTAAGGCTTTCATTTTAAAACTAAGGCATAGCATCTGATATATACCTCTATTATATAACAGATAGAAGCAGGGCCACTCTGATCAAATTTGGGACGTGTCAGAACTCTGCCTCTTTACAGCTTATGCCCCTGAGCTTCTTCCCAGATGTTTCCATGTAAAACAGTTTAAGAAACAGGTTGGGAAATTATTACTGTTTTAATGGAGATGCTGTGAGTGAGTTTGCTTGCTGTTGTTCTGATTGTGGGGGAATGCATGCAATACTACAAATAGTATTACATTAGCTAGAGGATTTTTTATTGGGCTTCTCCATTAGATTATAAAAATGTCCTTCTGTTTATGGTCTGGAGTTTTTAATAATGAATGGCTTTCAGATTTTGTCAAATGATTTTTCTTCAAGTTTTTAGATGATCATATGTGTTTTTCTCAATTTTCTGTTAAAGTGTACTGATTTTCAAATGTTTAACTTTGTGTACCAGGGATAAATTCTTGTGATCATAAAGGTCCATATTTTTAAAATATTTCTAGATTTAGTTTGCTGATATTTTATTGAGGATATTTTAAAATTTGTCTTCCTAGAGGATATTCTTATTCTGCTATTTTCTTTTCTCATAACTTCTTTATCAGTTTTTAATGAGGATTAGGCTCAGAAAGTGAGTTAGGAATTGTGCTAATTTTTCATTTATTACATTGGATACTTGCATTTTCTTTCTTTTTTCTAGATTAGTTTAAATAAGGGTTCATCAATTTTATTAATCTTTTAAACAATTTTACTTTTTCTGGCTTATTATTTGCCAGGCTTCTAGCTCATGCCTTTTCTTTACTACTACCTTTTTAATGCTTAATTTAATTTAATTTTCTCTTCCATTTTTAGCTTTTTAATGTGGAGATTTCAATCCTTAATTTTAGGCCTTTCTTCTCCATGTATAATTTTAATATTAACACTTTTGTATTTTTGAATAATTCAACTATTATACCAACAGTTCTTCATAATCCTGAAAAAATCTTTTTTTGAGAATTTATTGTATTCATTGAATTAAAAATTTCCCTGCAGCCAATTAAGCTGACCATGCTCCCTTCCTCGTAGAGGCCTGGTGTGCAAGGGCTGCAAGCAACAGCCTCCTTGGCAGTGTATGCAGCCTGTTCCTTGTACGAGTTGCTCTAAGGGACCTTGGAGATAGTGCTTTCTAATATATATTCCTGTGTTAGACCTTGTGTTGTCCCCAGTCTAGGCTCTATACACAGGTATGTGCAGTGCCTTTGGGAAGCCCCAGGGCAGTGTGGCTGTGGTTTACATTGGCCAAGTTATCATGTCCATTCGCACCAAACTGCAACAAGGAGCACATGAGGGAGGCCCTAAGCAGGACTTCAAGTTCCCTGGCTGTCAAGATTCACATCTGAAAGAAGTGGGGTTTCACCAAGTTTACTGAAGATGAATTTGAAGGTATGGTGTCTGAGAAGCAATTCATCCTGGATGGCTGTGGGGTCAAATACATACAATCAGGGGCCCAGTACAAGCAGTGTGCCCTGTACTCACGAGGGCTCCCACTGTGCTGCCCTCTCCCTCATTTATACCTATTTATAAATTCTACTTCTGGTCCAACAAGACTTTCAATAATTCCTTGGGGAAATTTTTATCAAGTACATCATCCATCTTTCTTTCATATTTTATGTAATCCACTGTCTTAATAAATTATGGAGTAAGTATTATTCAAAGTTGGATTATGTTTTAAATATCAGGAAACATATCTGAATTAATATTTGTGTCTTCTTATTCCTAAAGTCAAAAGGGTTCAGGACATAAAATCTTAGGGAAATTTTGGCATTATTACTAACTATTTATTTGAAATGTAATAAAAGTAGAACCCAGAATTGTGATAAATATTCAAAATAAGTTTTAAAGGATATATTACATCCTTCTGTTGTTCATTTCATGTTTGCTGGCCATCTCTTTCCTTGACCCAAGCCACTTTCACTTAGGTCAGTGTGCTCATTGTTCCTACATCAAAGAACACACTGTTGGCTGAGAAGAAAAGCATTTCCTCATGACATAATTTAGAATTTTTATACTTTCATAAATCCCTATATATTTTTAAGAAAAGGAGTGAAAATACACTTTCCATAATAGATAATTCAACTCATATCAAATCAATAAATAATAACTTTAAAAATAATAATCAGAATAGTCTTGCTCCCATGGCATCAGGTTTATATTGCTTTATTAAAGTTACAAAAGAAACTGTTGCATATGTTGAACTTTACTTGCTTTAGATGACACATTATTTAGTTAATTATTGAGCATGTACAGCATTGTTGGCCTCAGATAATATATGGTGCATTTTACAAGGGTACACGTTAAATTTTCTAAGTGTAGAACATAAATGTCTTAACACAATACCTAAGAAAATGTGATGAAGGCTGTATTACCCAGTTTGATGAAAATATTTCAAATGGTATATAAACCCAGCACATTGTACCCCATGATTGCATTAATGCACACAGCTATGATTTAATAAAAAAAATAATATTTTGAGCACTCATTATTATAGAGGAGACATTCATCATTTATGACCCGGTTGGGTTTCTAATCCATTTATGTTCTTTCTCAACTAATGAGCTGCATACTGTTAAACATAATAGCATTCTATTTTGTGTTACTGGCAAGAAGCCCTATTTGACTTCAAACTTACACAAATAGACAGAGCTTCTTTTTACTATTTACTGTAAGAGAACTTGGAAAATATTTTATAAAATTAACAACCAGAATATGAAACAATAACTGTATTGACTGTATTCTTAGAAACGAAAGAATATTTTAAAATTAGGAATATTAAGAATGTAAGTTCAAAAGGTCCCTTCTTATTTTTCATTGTGTGATATCCAGCTGTTTAAGATGATTTCCACGAATTTCTGTCAGTCATGAAAATGAACAATTTGTCAAACTTGCCTTATGTTTTGTGAGAGGACAATTAAAAGGTTACTATTTCTATAAGACTGTCTAGGCTTTTTATGACCAATAATTAGAGTAGAATAATAGAAAAAAATACAAAATGTATTCTATGTTTTAATTGGTGATAGACATTTATTTGCATATTACATGCCCATACAATTACAATTTATGTTTATTGAGTCCCTACCATATGCAAATACTGTGCTAAAATCTTTGGATGCTTTATCATTTTTAATTTACACACTCATTTATGGGCACTGGGCATTGAATAAGTTAGATATTTTGCCTAGTTTGCCCAAATAAGTGGTGACTAAGAATTAGTTGCACTCTGGTCTTTCTGACTGTAGAACTCAGACTTTAGCCATCTCTCAATGCTGACTCTCTATCTTGAGTTTCATATGCAGAAAAATAAGAATTTGCAGGTAAGTCAAGTAAACATCACCAAATAGAAAACACAGAATTCAAAACCACTGAGATTATTAGTTTTAATTATCTATGTCCTTATGGTGTGTCCTTTTAATATCCTAGATTTATAAGAATTTGTTCTCTAACACCATATGTGGTAGGTAAGCATTTTGAGAAACCAGTTTTCCCCTTATTCTTATCTCAGGCATCTCCTACAGTACCTGGCAAGGACACCTATTTTTCATTTCTTTGGCTTTTATATCAAAATTAATCTGAGGGCACAGTTTTTTAGGTTACATTGCTCTCACTTCCAGGGTAAAATTCCAATTGTAAAAGAGCCCTTCACTCAAGTGGCATGTCACATACCTCACTATGTGCACACTGGTTGAGATCCAGTCTCATGCTCTCCATCATTCTGCCAATTGCTCTCCTGCCTCCCCCCTCCCCTGTACTGGACTATATTTGTGTTTTATTGTTCATGTGAGCATTGCTAGTATGGAGTACATTGGGTATTTATTTTTTAATTCTCGTAATACTTTACTAAGAAGGATGTATTTCAATTCTATCCAGGTAAATGTAAAAGCTATAAAATCTCCATCTTTTTAATGGCTGAGTAGTATTCCATGGTCTACATATACTACAGTTTGTTCATCCATTCATGGGTTGATGGGCACTTGGGTTGCTACCATGACTTGGCAATTATTAATTGAGCCACAGTAAACA